TCCGCTTACCCATCTCGGATACGGATACGGATATACCTTAGTAAGAAAAATTTATAAATCATATCCGCTAAAATCGGATACGGTTACGGATATACATGCGGATATATAAGCGGATATGCATGCAAATACAAAACAGATATGAGAAAACTAGATAGCATTGAGAAAAACATAGTTCATGTGATACAAAAGAGTTTGTTAATATGTCCATTATAATTGAAAAGTTAAGATTAGACATCTTGATCATCAAAATTAACCACAAATCCATAATCTAAGAATCGAAACTATCCGTAAGAGTGTGACTAATATGTATTCGGATATTTCGGATACGGATACGGATATTTCACTACAAAACCATATCCGTAACCATATCCTATCGGTTATAGATTTGAGTAACCATATTCGTATCCTAACGGATACGGTTACGGATATTTTCTCGGATACGAATACGGTTTAGCACCCCTAATGAGAGCTCAACTCTTGGATCCATGGTTAATCTTTTGGAGCAACTCTTTGAACTGAACGTCCAGATAACATATGTCCTTGTTTTGTTCTCTTTGTCCAAATAAAACAATGACTGCATTCTTAGGCCCTGGAGTAACATACTTCAACCTTCTTTTGTTCAGTATATTTGTTACTGTAGAAACAAGAAAAAATGAAGTTTGTACCGGAATATTTGTCCAATTTAGATTACCACTGTTCCAAATTTCTTCCATTTAGTGTTGGGAAAATTATGCAACAAATTTTTTTTCTCGATAAAATGGGCAGAGTCTGAACCTAATGATGAAGTGGCCACGTTGAATGCGGGAAAAATCAAACTTAGAATATCAGAGCTAGGAATTTAGGGTGAGCTAATAAAGAAAAGGGTATATTTGTGAGAAGTTTCGTATAATAATGAGTTTTGGAAGGCAATTACAAATGACTTTACAGGTTTGGTGGAACAAAAAATCTCCAAAACCCAAATTGTAGACTATCAGTTCGCGAATTGATATTAACCGTACTAGAACATTATCTTTAATCCTCATTTCCGCTCTCTATTTAAGTCAATTTGTAGATTATTAATTTTATGAAAGTTTTGCTCTATAAATCTGATTAAGGGAAATTAATTTTTTTTACACAAGAACATACTGCTAAACAAAAAAGAAATTTCATATTTCTATCTGACTCAATTAAAAGAATATATGATCTACATTCAAATGGTACACATCAAAGAAGATGAAGCACCGAAAGCAAATTAAATATATGGAGATACAGAAATTGCCACAGGCAAAAAATTGATGTAAAAGAGAAAAAAATTGCAGATAAATATAGATCATCACCGGCTGGAACTCAGTCTGACTTTGCCTGGATAACTAATTTTGATTCAATCTCTTTCCACTTCTTCATGCTCGGCGTCTATAAGAGGAGTATGGTGGCAGGCTGAAGCAAAGAGTATAAACATGTACGTGCTCTGTGGCAAGTTATGTTACTGATTGTATAACTGGTTAAGGCTGTACCAGGTCTAGTCAATATAATCTCCAAAAACTTCCTGCAGAGAGCACAATGTTTCAAGATTCTAGCAAAAAACATGGAAAGGGAAGCAACGTAGTTAGGTAAAAGCTCATCGTATTAGATAATTCTAATAAGCATATATAGTTGGAGCTAACAAGCTAGGGATATCAACGGAAAATGCTCCCTATTTGTTAAAAAAAAATTATTTATTATTATATTTATTAATTACTACTTTTATTTTTATTTTTATTTTTTATTATTTTTATATAATTTTTATTTTATTTTATTGTATTTTTTTGCGTAGGGGGTTGGGGTGGAGGAGAAACATACTTCACATACAAAGATGACTTCTGTACGGTGTTAATCATCGATTCGATATATATTATACTTCGAAGAATGATGGCAGATAGTTATCAGTTGTGTACAAAGTTCTGATTATCTTACAGGTGATCACAAGACAGACATAGTGAAGTACACGTATGCATACAACGTAAAGGTAGTCTCAATAAAAGCAGAAATAGTAAATGTTGCAAGGTGCCACTACCCAAAAGTATAAGCTAATTAGTGGTCCTTAACAATCTTGGTGATGGGACGAGATAATAGCAAAGCATATCATTCATTAGGATAATTTTCAGAGAAAACATATACCAGGGATTGACTGTGTCCTCATAACAAAATCAAGTGGGCAAAAGGGGTTTCCTCTCATCGTGTCCAACGCGATGGGTAGCCTGAAAATAGAGTAAGTGTGTAAGAACAACTAGATTAGTTTGGGATAGAAAAAGGTAAATAGAAATGCGTCTTACTCCATCAGCTGCACCAGCAGTCATATTTATAAAGGGATCATCCTTTGACCTGAAGAAAGATCACATTAGGATATTAATTGAAAATCGTGTATACCATGCAAGAAATATGAATAGTGGAAGTACAACTTGTAAAGCAATTGGAGTGTTTGTCTCGAATATGACTTGAGCCTTGTTAAAACAAAGCTCATCTACCCCGCCAGAAAAGTGTGAGATCTACAACATGACGTGTAAAATGAGCCTGAGTGATTTTGTTCAGACTCTTGAAACGGTTCGGTTCGTCAATGGAATATGAGTCAGTATCACAAACCATATTACCAGACTTACTGACAGGATAAACAATTAATCAATATATTTCCATTATAGTCAAACCACTTATATGCTGATAAATCAGGCAAGATCATACAAGAAATAACAAAGATTATATCATGAAAAAACATATCAAATTCATCAACAGAATCAAATAAATAAACTTGTGAACCTGCCATTTTGAGCATCCATAAGCTCTAATGTTCCGTTTGGACCCTCATCTTTAACTTTGGCAAGTGGCGAAAAGAACTGATAAGGAACTAAAGTAATTAACACTGGTAAAAGTTGATGGAGTAGATTTTGCATACAACAACAAGTACCTGGTGCATCGATATAAATACTATTGAAATTCCCAACATAAAGTTAATAGTCAGTGTATGACCAAATAATGCAGCTGATGCTATTCCAGTAAAAATAGTCGCAACAGTTGACGAATATTTCTTCAAAATTGTATCTGTATGGATCATTAAATTTAATCGAGTATTCAACTTTAGGCTTTTCTCCAGCAAGAAATTAACAGGCTCAAACACAAACTAAATTATATCTACCTGCATATTTAAAAAAGAAAGAGGATAGTATGCCTTGGGCTGCATTGTTCAATATAAGTAGCATTGTCGCCCTTGAATGGCCTTGAAGGATATCAAAGCTGCTTGGTCCTGTAAAATCATAATATCAGGTAAAACTACTGGCAAATCTAATGAGGTGATCCTAGTGACAACTTCTCTAACACCCTAAAAAGGTTTCAAGCAAGTAAAAGTTATGTGAATGATTAGGTTAGATGGTATACCTTTAAATATTGCAATTCCAACAATGGCAAGAAAGTTGAATATGGCACCATAGCCATATAAAAATATGTTCTGCAAATAAGACATGGAAAATCAGATAACAAAAGTCTTAGCAGGACCCAAGTCTTCACCTAAACAACAATAGAAGTTCATTAATCTTTATTGGATAGAAGATGGAATCGTGCATTTGAGTATGTGATAGTCATATTTTTAATCACTCAATAAAAATTGCATCAAGGGTCAAAGGGGTTACCTGAAGATAAATACTTGTATCAAACTGACTCTTTAGTGCATATTCATTGAAGACTGATGCCAGTGATGGTACAATTACCTGAAAATTATATCCCATAGTGTGAATTTTCTAATATATGATCCAGCTGGTGTTTATTTCAACTTCAGAAATAAGTAGACCATCTGTTCACATTTTATCTTATTTCAAATTCCATTAAGAAGAATCCTTGAATTACTCAGCAGAAAAGTCAAATATTTCATTGAGGCTTACTGATAGTGGATCTAGCTGCTTCACACTGCCATTAAACATGTATTCTTGAAAAAATATCAAAGTCAAGTAATAACTATTTCAGATTTTAATTTGTGAATCAGCCCGTCAAAAAAGACAATGGAAGTAGCAAATATTATTAACATAGAAAATACAGCAAAAAAATTATCATTTGTTGTTCCTTAATCAACAAAGTAAGACTGGCAGCTGAAGTAATGCAAAATCCATGTGGAAATTCATTTAAAAGAGATAATAATGATCCAACAAAAGAACCAGTGCTGCAACAAACTTACAAAAATTAATGTATACAAGTAAGCAACCGTTGCAACTGGAAGACCAAGTGCAGTAGTACCTCCTGGCAATGAACGTAACTGATTGACACTAATTCCAATGAGCAAGAGCGCGAGAGCCTCCCACTGTCCATCAACAACCAGTACCAAATGTCAGAACACAAGCAAAAAAGACCAGAATTATCATTTAATTCATTTCATCTTCACGTCAGCCTTCTCTATTCAATATGGGGTTGGCTTTGAAGAGCTAATTCATAAAGAGAAGATTCCACAGAAGCCTCTATGCAACTTTAATGGAGGTCAACCTAATGGTAAGTCTAAGTTATGGGGTCAGAATCCAAGACAAGGGAACTACTAGACAAGGCAGTGGTTGTCAGACGCTTGCAGATATACTAACCTGTAGGTAAACCTACTTATTCGATATTAAGTGTGAACCAATGAACAAATGTGAAAAACTCTCCTAGACCAAATGAAAATCTAGAGGAAAGAATGAAGAATTTTTTTTCTACAGAAATTCATCTCATGGACATGTTCTAAGCTAGCTATTGAGGGTGGGGAGGGGGAGGGGGGCATTCACAAGAGAATGGAATCTGCAAAAAAAATTATGGATCTCTACAAAGAGAACGAAAATTCTTGCAAATATGCATAATATACTCCTCAAGCAGAGTTCCCGTTGAATTAAGCTCATGCATGAATAATTTTCAACAATGGACATGTTTGACAGCTAGAATTATCAAATTGATCAGGAAAAGAGTTGTTCCAAATTTTAAACATGCCTGAATTATGGAAAACCGCCTTCTCATTATGATCTTCAAAAGGACAGCAATAACCAAAACCTGCAAGTATGCAGCACCAAAAGAAAATATGAAGAGTTTAAATTTCTCTTAGTAAAGGATTGAAACCATGATCTATTTTGAGATTAGAGTATGATATGGGAACCAAACACTTAAAAAGGTTACAATAAGAATTTATGTTGCAGCTAACCATTAACAGAGATGCAGTTTTTCTTAAAATAACACAGCTTAACAAATTTCAACATTACAAGAAATCAAGAAACCTTAGTAAGTCAGCAAAACCACTATGTTCTGCATCAAATTTGGGTAATAAAAGTCACTGTTGAAAATACATATAGCCAGAAAAAGCAAACTGAATTATGATATATTGAGATGTTGGAAGTAAAAGCAACTCTTTTTGAGATTGTAGGGCGGAGCTACTGCTCCATTTAAATATATACTTATATAAACATAATAACATATTTTCATGTATCTTTATTTTCTCAATTTAACGTATTTGCTTGAGATCAAGGATTTTTTTAGAACATATAAGGACAAAAAGGATCATGGTGTCACAGAACAGAGACCAATGACCAGTTAGCATGAACAAACATGTAATCAGCAGCCAGATCTTGTTGACTTTAAAATTTTCAGAAAGTGTTGTCTCAAAATTAACTTGTTATATTTTTCATAGTGCTGTTAGATTAGGGAGTAGTAAGAGTATAAAATTAAAAGGAAATTAAGGATACCTTAAAATTGGTAATACCTTTAGGTTGCTCAACATCTTCACGGTTGCAGGAGTGAAATATAACTGCAAAAAAAAGAAGAAAAAGAACATAAACACATCAACGACTGTGTTTATCTTCTATATTAATCTTCAATCAAAAATCAGCAAAATTGTAGTTATTATTGTGTAAAAGTAAAAGCTGATATTAACAGAATGACCTTTCGCTTGATATGCTCAGTTAAGTTTATACCTGCATAATAAATTTTAAGTAGTTGTTGATGGCATACAGAAGAGCAGGAACAGCAAGAAAAACGTTGTTTCTTGCAGCCTACAAACAAATAGAAACAGTATAAACTATTAGGCATCCAAGGACTACAATCCACATCCTCTTAAAAGTTTACATAAACTGTCAGCATGAAAAATCAACAGTACATTAAAAAGTTGGAGTAATAGATTGCGAAATCAGTTAATTTTCTATCCAAATCCATGCACCAAAATATCCTCACGTCTCTA